TGAATGAATAAATGATCAGTTTGGCTTGTTTTTCCTGTTTGATTTCTTTGACAGACTTGACATATTTGGCTTGTTTTTTCCACAGGGCTCCAGTGTCAAACTCGAGAGTTTGGGAATGAATGAGTGAATGAACTCGAGGAGTTCGGGAATGAATGAATGGCAGAGGGCTCCAGTATCAAACTCGAGAGTTCGGGAATGAATGAATGAATGAAATGAATGAATGAATGAATAAATGATCAGTTTGGCTTGTTTTTCCTGTTTGATTTCTTTGACAGACTTGACATATTTGGCTTGTTTTTTCCACAGGGCTCCAGTGTCAAACTCGAGAGTTTGGGAATGAATGAGTGAATGAACTCGAGGAGTTCGGGAATGAATGAATGGCAGAGGGCTCCAGTATCAAACTCGAGAGTTCGAGAATGAATTAATGAATGAAATGAATGAATGAATGATCAGTTTGGCTTGTTTTTTTTGTTAGATTTATATGACAGACTTGACATCTTTGGCATGTTTTTTCTACAGGTCTCCAGTATCAAACTCGATAATTTAGGAATGAATGAATTCTTTCTGTTAGATTTATTTGACAAACTTGACATCTTTGGCTTGTTTTTTCCACAGGGCTCCAATGTCAAACTCGAGAGTTCGGGAATGAATGAGTGAATGAACTCGAGGAGTTCGGGAATGAATGAATGGCAGAGGGCTCCAGTATCAAAGTCAAGAGTTCGGGAATGAATGAATGAATGAATGATCAGTTTGGCTTCTTTTTTGTTAGATTTATTTGACAGACTTGACATCTTTGGCATGTTTTTTCTACAGGTCTCCAGTATCAAACTCGATAGTTCGGGAATGACTGAATTCTTTCTGTTAGATTTATTTGACAGACTTGACATCTTTGGCTTGTTTTTTCCACAGGGCTCCAATGTCAAACTCGAGAGTTCGGGAATGAATGAGTGAATGAACTCGAGGAGTTCGGGAATGAATGAATGGCAGAGGGCTCCAGTATCAAACTCGAGAGTTCGGGAATGAATGAATGAATGAATGAATAAATGATCAGTTAAGCTTGTTTTTCCTGTTTGATCTATTTGACAGACTTGACAAATTTGGCTTGTTTTTTTTACAGGGCTCCAGTGTCAAACTCGAGAGTTTGGGAATGAATGAGTGAATGAACTCGAGGAGTTCAGGAATGAATGAATGGCAGAGGGCTCCAGTATCAAACTCGAGAGTTCGGGAATGAATGAATGAATGAATGAATAAATGATCAGTTTGGCTTGTTTTTCCTGTTTGATCTATTTGACAGACTTGACAAATTTGGCTTGTTTTTTTTACAGGGCTCCAGTGTCAAACTCGAGAGTTTGGGAATGAATGAGTGAATGAACTAGAGGAGTTTGGGAATGAATAAATGGTAGAGGGCTCCAGTATCAAACTGGAAAGTTCGGGTATGAATTAATGATATGAATGAATGAATGAATGAATGATCAGTTTGGCTTGTTTTTCCTGTTTGATTTATTTGACAGACATGACATATTTGGCTTGTTTTTTCCACAGGGCTCCAGTGTCAAACTCGATAGTTTGGGAATGAATGAGTGAATGAACGCGAGGAGTTCAGGAATGAATGAATGGCAGAGGGCTCCAGTATCAAACTCGAGAGTTCGGGAATGAATGAATGAATGAAATGAATGAATGAATGAATAAATGATCAGTTTGGCTTGTTTTTCCTGTTTGATTTATTCGACAGACTTGACATATTTGGCTTGTTTTTTTCACAGGGCTCCAGTGTCAAACTCGAGAGTTTGGGAATGAATGAGTGAATGAACTCGAGGAGTTCGGGAATGAATGAATGGCAGAGGGCTCCAGTATCAAACTCGAGAGTTCGGGAATGAATTAATGAACGAGATGAATGAATGAATAAATGATCAGTTTGGCTTGTTTTTCCTGTTTGATTTATTTGACAGACTTGACATATTAGGATTGTTTTTTCCACAGGGCTCCAGTGTCGAACTCGAGAGTTTGGGAATGAATGAGTGAATGAACTCGAGGAGTTCGGGAATGAATGAATGGCAGAGGGCTCCAGTATCAAACTCGAGAGTTCGGGAATGAATTAATGAATGAAATGAATGAATGAATGAACGAATCCTCAGTTTGGCTTGTTTTTTTTTGTTAGATTTATTTGACAGACTTGACAACTTTGGCATGTTTTTTCTACAGGTCTCCAGAATCAAACTCGATAGTTCAGGAATGAATGAATTCCTTCTGTTAGATTTATTTGACAGACTTGACATCTTTGGCTTGTTTTTTCCACAGGGCTCTAGTGTCAAACTCGAGAGTTCGGGAATGAATGAGTGAATGAACTCGAGGAGTTCGGGAATGAATGAATGGCAGAGGGCTCCAGTATCAAACTCGAAAGTTCGGGAATGAATGAATGAATGAAATGAATGAATGAATGAATGAATAATGATCAGTTTGGCTTGTTTTTCCCGTTTCATTTATTTGACAGACTTGACATATTTGGCTTGTTTTTTTCCACAGGGCTCCAGTGTCAAACTCGAGAGTTTGGGAATGAATGAGTGAATGAACTCGAGGAGTTCGGGAATGAATGAATGGCAGAGGGCTCCAGTATCAAACTCGAGAGTTCGGGAATGAATTAATGAATGAAATGAATGAATGAATGAATGAATGAATGAATGATTAGTTTGGCTTGTTTTTTTTGTTAGATTTAATTGACAGACTTGACAACTTTGGCATGTTTTTTCTACAGGTCTCCAGTATCAAACTCGATAGTTTAGGAATGAATGAATTCTTTCTGTTAGATTTATTTGACAAACTTGACATCTTTGGCTTGTTTTTTCCACAGGGCTCCAGTGTCAAACTCGAGAGTTCAGGAATGAATGAGTGAATGAACTCGAGGAGTTCGGGAATGAATGAATGGCAGAGGGCTCCAGTATCAAACTGGAGACTTCGCGAATGAATGAATGAATGAAATGAATGAATGAATGAATGAATGAATGAATGATCAGTTTGGCTTGTTTTT